GGCAGGCCAGCCGGTTTATGGCAGGACAGGGAGGCCTTTTCATCCGGACACCCCGCTTCCTTCTGAAGCACTCGGGCAGGGATGTTGGGGGGGACCTGGCCGTGTGTCTGTCCCCTCCTGGTGCACAAGGGGCTGCCTCGCCCACTGTGTCATTGGCCAGTGGCTGGCGGGGGGGTATTGTGCCTTGTGCGCAGCCGCAGTGCTGTGGTGACCCGGCTGTGGCCTCCTGGGGGTGACAGGCTGACTGGGATCAGTGCTGTGATGGGGCCAGGCAGCACAGTGACCTGGCCTGGCCTGGAGGAGGCAGGGAGGGCTTCCTGGAGGAAGTGGAATCTAGTAGACTGGCCACACAAAGGGGAAGTGGGGAGTTCCGGATCGAGGGAGCTGCACGCACAAAGGACCCGCAGCAGAGCAGAGCAGACTGGTTCTAGGGCGCAGGGCATTGGGGTAGCCAGAGGGAGGAGCTCAGGAGGGGTGTCCAGCTCCGTTAGGGCACCTGGGCTGTGTCCGAAGGCCAGGCGAGGTAGGTGGTCAGTCCAGCGATTCAGAGTCCATCCTGGCTGCTGCGAGGGCCTGGGCGTCGGGCGGGGGCCTGCAGCAGAGCGGCCTATGAGGGGCAAGGGCAGACAGGTCATGCCCACTTCACGACGGGGCCCCGAGGCCGGGGGCCACACTGCTGGGGGGCAGCCTCTGTCGGTGCACAGTTCAGCCAGGGCTCCCCACTCTGCACAGCCCTTCCTTGACACCCCCACCCATGCTCAAGTACATGGGCGACTACCCGTCCAAGAGGACGCGCTCTGTCAACGAGCTCACCGACCAGATCTTCGAGGGCGCCCTGAAGGCCGAGCCTCTCAAGGACGAGGCCTACGCGCAGATCCTGAAGCAGCTGACCGACAACCACATCAGGTGGGCAGGCCGTCTGCTGGGACCGGGGCTGGGCGGCCTCCTCACGCAGCGGGGCGCCTTGGGCCTCCAGGGCGCCATAAGAGCCGAGTGCTGGTGGCCTTATGCCCGAGTCTGTCCTCCAAGTCACACAGTCCTGCCTGGCCGCCTCGGACTCTGCTCCTGACCAGGGCTCCCACGGCCACGAAGCTGAGCTGGCAGTCGGCTCTGGCCAGGAACTCAAGGGTTGGGGTGCTGGACCCCAGAGAGGTCACCTTCTCCTCCCTACCAGCCCAGCCAGAGTAGGGATGGGAAGTCAGGGCTCAGCTCAGAGCCTGAGAGAGGCTCTGCCCGCTCCCGTCCACCCCACCTCCACGTGCGCTCACTTCACCCCCCTGCCTCCACCCCGTCTCTACCACTAAACTGCACGTCAGGTCTTTTCACACGGCTGCACCTCAGGACATGCTGTGTCCACAGCCTGGGCAACCTTTCCTCTCCTCTGCATCTCAGGATTTGCATCATCCTTCAAACTAGAGCACATGTCACCTCCTTCTAGAAGCCCTCCAAGCTTCCCTCCTGTCTGGCCCTATGAGCTCAGAGTAGTGCCTGAGGGAGCCCAGCGGAGCTGCTCTAACCCGGTGCTGCTCAAGTCACTGATGAGTTAGGAGCTTTTGCCAGAGTAGAAATCACACGGCTTCCCTTATGGGACTGTCCTGCTATGAAAAAGGATGAGTCGGCAGAGGCAGACCTGCTGGGCAGTAGTGGGTTTCCCTTCTGGCCGAGGGCCTCGTCTGTGTGGACCGGCACCTCCAGAGTAGCACTAACTGGATCTGGCTGTCGGGCCATCCGAGGGGTCCTGAGACAGGCGTGGGTCAGGGCCGACACTGTGTCCCCGCAGGTACAGCGAGGAGCGGGGCTGGGAGCTGCTGTGGCTCTGCACCGGCCTCTTCCCGCCCAGCAACGTCCTGCTGCCCCACGTGCAGCGCTTCCTGCAGTCACGAAGGCACTGCCCGCTCGCCCTGGACTGCCTGCAGCGGCTGCAGAAGGCCCTGAGGTGCGGGCGCCGGGGTGGCACGGGACAGCTCCACACCACAGGTGGCCTGCCTGGGTGCCTCCGCAGCCAGCTGACAGCGTGGGGCAGTGGCCATTCTGGACATGGCCATGGTCCGACTGCTCTGGCCTTCGAGTGTACAGGGCGCTCGGACGTCCCAGCAGGCCAACCTCCCACTGCGTGAACCCGCAGCCCTCCCCTGGCTGGGTGCCGCCGGCCCCGGTGTGGGAGCTGTTAGATCCCACTTTCCAGAGGAGGGACTCGAGGCTCCCCGAGGCCCAGCGGCCGGGAGGAGGTGGCTGTGGGGTCAGAACTTGGGTTTGCTCCCCTCCAGACACCCCAGCCCACAGCCGGCCAACCGCCCGCCCCCCCACCCCGTTCCGAAA